AATCGCTAAACAAACTTCAAAGCACAAGGAAAATATAAAAAATAAAAACAAACTTGTTCCTCACTGGAATCGCATCGACAAAATGACGCCGGGTGGTGAAGGCTTTAGGGAAGCCAATTGGCCAATGCGTCTTTTCTCTCTCTCTCTCTCTCTCTCTTTCAAGGGACATAGAATGTCCGCACCATGTTTGAAGCTGGCTGGCTGGCTGCCAAGACTGCCCAGATTGCAAAAGAGATGAGAAGGTATGGCATAGAAGTGTAAGGAATCTGCGACGAATCTCCAGATAGAATGGAAGTGGACACTCCAAACTGTCAACTGGAGAGTCAATAATCTAATCTACTCCGATATTGTCACCCAACCACCAGCACAACGAGTTTTCAAGTGCCTATCATCATGTCCCCAACACCATCAAAGGCTCACTCTCATACAGTCAGAACCAATCTCCTCCTACACGATCAGCTTCATCACAGCAACATTCAACTCAAAAGGAAGAAAAGTAACAATCATACAATCCTACGCTCTACTCTACTCTACTCTACGCACCTACAAATAATTAAGCAGATCAACACAAGGAGGAGGAATCCTACACACAACTCCAACCAGTATTCGACAAGACCCTAGACGGCAACGGTGACGACGAACTCAAAATTCTAATCAATGACAAAATCGGAGCAGACAACTCAGCAAAACAACTCATCATGGGTCGAGAAACACTCCATAAAATGATGAATGAGAATGGAGAACTGTTTGCAGACTTCTGTCCATTCGACCATTTGGTGATTGGAGGAGATGCAGTGTGCACAAACACAAGGATATTCACAAGGCAGTCACATGGATTTGATTCCACCACACGCCAGACACACTACACTAAAAATCAGATCGACTTCATTTCAATGTGAAGAAGGTGGAGACGCCATCAGCCTACTGGACATGAAATCAAGAGGAGGAACAGACGCAGGTTCACACCACCCACCATCTAGTCTAAGGAACCGAACCTCAAAATCAAGTTGAAACCCTACAAAGAAACACGAGATAGACTACAGTTCATGATCAACACCCAAAACAGAAGGTGAACTGAAGGACAAAACTACAAACGACATCTTCACACCAATCAGCCATCAGGGAAAAAGTGGGAGACATTAAGCAACATCCCTGAGGAAACCTGTGTGGAAGAACACTGGAACTCTTTGAAAGAGATGTAGAAAGAAACCTGCATAATCATGTCACGAAGGCAAAAGAAAGAAGACAGGGGATGGATCCCTACAGACACATGGAAACTCATAAAAGAGGGAGATGGTGAAGCAGAACATGAACTAGCGCAGTGCAGTGCAGGGATGAACAACGAAAAGAGAAACTGAACACAACCTATAAAACACTACACTGGACAAAAACGTGGAGAAGAGTGTGCGCAAAGACAAAAGACACTTCTACGACACACTGGTATGTGAACCAGAACAGGCTACAGGTAGGAGAGACAGAGACCTGACAACACTACATCAAATAACCAGGTTACTATCTCGGAGGGAAGAGTTCAACGCAGACAAAATCATTGAAAGATAATGAAGGAAACCTAGTTACCACCAAAGAGGACAAACAAGGGAAACAATGGGTTGACCACTTCGAAATGCTCTTGATTCGACCACCACCTGCAACTCTTCCGGAAACATCACCAGCAATGGCAGAACTATCAGTCAACACAGGCCCTCTGACAAAAGCAGAAGTCCTCAATGCCATAAAACTGCTGAGATCCGGGAAAGCACCAGGACCAGATGCAATTCCACCGGAAGCACTGAAAACAGACTCAGAGACAACAGCGGACATACTCACGCCAATACTGCACAAGATTTGGAAGTTAGGGAGGAAAGGTACCTGCCGATCGATTGGAAGAAGGGCTACCTTGTCATACTCCCCAAGAAGGGAGACCGAAGTCTTTGCAGGATTTGGCAAGGAGTCATGCTGCTGTCCACCCCAAGCAAAATATTAAGCTGCATCATCGTGGAGAGACTAAAGGATGCGCTGGATTCAAAATTACCACAGGAACAGGCTGGATTCAGGAAGAACAAATCATGTGCGGGCCAAATCGCAACACTATGCATAGTCATTGAACAGAGTATAGAATGTCAGTCAACTCAACTTCATCAATTTTGGAAAGGCCTTCGACAGCTTCCACCGAGAAGTAATTTGGCAGTTGCTTGAACACTACGGAGTGCCACAAATCTTTATCAACCTCATTCAATAGCTATATGAATAGGCCATATGTCGAGTGATCCACAATGGGAAGCTCAGTGAAGCCTTTGAAGTGAAGACAGGAGTAGGACAAGGTTGCCACCTACTCTCACCGATTACCTTCCTGATTGTGATCGACTGCATCATACAGCGAAACCTGAGGAGCGAGAAGATGGGCATACGCTGTTTGACCGATGAAAGGACCTCAGAAAAAGACTTGGATTTAGCCGATGATGATTTATGTATAATGTCTTGTAGCACAAACTCGAAGATCTACAGGCAAAAACTAACAAGTTGACAGAAGAAGCAGGGCAGCGAAAACGGGACTTCAAGTGAATGTAGAGAAGACGGAAGTGATGAGATACCCAACCAACAACAGCATCAACAACAAGTACCAATCACCATCAATCGGAGAAACCTAAAGGAAGTAGCCTCTTTCACCTACCACCTTGGCAGCATCGTTTCAACCACAGGTGGCATAGACACAGAGGAGGATGTCAAAGCCAGGATCGGAAAGACAGCAAGACAGGCTTTCATTAATCTGAAATCAGTGTGGAGATCTACTGCACTCAGCACAAAGAACAACATCCGGATTTTCAACACCAATTCAGTCAAGTCAGTGCTGCTATATGGTTCAGAAACTTGGCATGCCACGAAAAGGATTTCCAACAAACTACAGATATTCATCAACAGCTGCCGCCTACGCTCACTCGATACTGAAGATGACGATCAGATGGCCAGAAAGAATAAGCAACAAGGAAGTCTGGGAACGAACCAGCCAGGAACCTACCACCCAACAAATATGCAGAAGAAAGTGGAGATGGACTGGACATACACTGAGAAGACCGACTGGGGATATCACGCGCCAGGCCCTCGGGTGGAACCCAGAGGGGAAACGAGTTGGTCGTCCGAGGTGAGGGTGACATGAAGATAAGTGTGAGAAAGAAATGAAAGCTTGTGGGCAGTCGTGGTGCCAGTTCCAAAAGACTTCAGAGGATAGAGTGAAACGGAAGCGTGCTACTGAAGCCCTATGTTCCACTAGGAACCCAAGAGGAAAAAAATAATCGAACAAGCTTCTTTTGAATACAAAGGTTAGGTTTGTAAAGGTGATTTGCAGTCATCTCTGTGTGAAGTAAGCGAATGCGTAATCCATATGGCAAATTAATTGGGATATGATGAATAGTTTTGCCTGCTTTTTAGTATCCACTTGATGTCCCTTCTCAACTACGTGTGCAAGTATGGAACTCTTTATTGTTCTAATTTGTCCCTTGCTCAACTATGATGGATGGGGCTTAGAAATTCGACGATGCAACTGCCTCATTGTACGCCCAACATAACTAGCTCCACAGGAGCAGTTGAATTGATAAATACACATGGAAGTTGCAGAATCAGGCAGTTTGTCTTCATTTCTTGCACCTAGAACCGCGCAGTTGTATATGAAACATAATTTAGCGGCTGGGAAGACTTTATGCAAGACTCTTTTTATGCACTGTGTGATGACTTCAGTGGCAATGTCACCCTTGAATTTCAGCTTTAAGAAGATTTGCTTCTTAAGAACTGGTGACGTTCTTGTCTTAACCTTCGTAACATACATATGCTTAGTTACAAACTTGTCTGAATGGCCATTCCTATTAAGCAGGTCATGAATGGTGGCGAACTCTTCCTCTGTAGCGTCGTTGGAGCCAATAGCTGCGGCATGGTATGCTAGGCATTTCACCAGGTTCCCTTTTTATTGGAGGGGTATGGCACTAAAGAAGTGCATGTATTGTCCTGTCGATGTTGGTTTTCCATATACACTTTGTTTCATAGTTTCATCTAACCTTCTTACCAACAGGACATCAAGAAATGGGATAGTGTCATTTTGTTCCCCCTTCCATTATGAAGTTGATTGTCGGATGAACACTACTGAACTTGTTGAGAACAGCATTCTTATCAATCTCACTTTTGAGAACTATAAAGGTATCATCCATGTAACGACAATATAATTCTAACTGACTAATAGTTTTGTTTCACTGAACCATTCTCTATTTTTGCCAGAAAAAAATTCTTCTGAGAGCGGGTCAAAGGCTGACCCCATAGCTACACCCTCAGACTGACTGTAGAGTTCAATATTGAGAAGGAATTGTGCGTTCAACGTACACTTCCGTTATTTAATAAACACCCAATTGGAACTACAGTTAACCATGATGAAGTCCTATGCATGCATAGTACTATTCAGTCGACCGCCATCACGAAGAAACTAAAAAAAACTGTACTATTTGACTCATTCACAAGTGTCATAAACTGTAGTTCACTGCTTTATCAAGTTGAATACAATCGTTACACTATAGACAAGGAAAAATGTTTAGTAATAAACATCAATTTGGTTGAGCTTGAAGATACGTCTTGCTGAAGAGTGCCAACAAACACGAAACCTAGGTAAATCAAAGTTTCCTGCCGATTGCCTCCATCCAACTAACATCTACCTCAGTATATCACGATAGTGAATCTCTTTGCCAGGTGACCAAATTGAAAAATGATCCATAGCACTGAAGACTAGACGACATGAAGTAGGTTACCCTATATATAATCCTGTACTACAAGAGGTCAATTATCGGCCGAGTAGCTTAATGATAACCTCTCTAACTCCAGTACTGGGTGACGCGGGGTTCGAATCTAAGGCGGGGGCAAAATGATACATACAATTCAGACTGGACAACAAAAAGTTGGTTACCTTTCCATAATTATAAACTTTTTCAGGCACATGAATTTGAAGTAAAACTATTCTAATTTTAACTTTTTCTAATTCAAATAATTTATTTACAGAAATATTAATTAGCATATAGAAGAAATTCTGTGTACAATTTGTCTGAGGGTAGATTAAATTTCTGCTATTCGCCATTTAACTTAAACACTGGGCACAGCCTCTAAGTTCTGTACTTCTGGAGTAGATATCCCTGGGATATATAATTTCGATTTCTTTGCTTCAAAAAAAGTATAATTTAATACAATACTTGTAACTGGACTTAATAGACGATTAGAATTGATCTCTGGATCAATGAAGAAAAATACAGGTAAGTCAACCTGAAAACAAAAGAAAAAGCATGACAACAATTTTATGCATCAAACAATACACATATTCAAAACATATGTACAGATACACATATACACACACACCAAGATATACATCTATGTTGAACACATCATAAGGAATTGTTGCGTAGAAAAAGGTCAAGATGGTCATCAGCATACAGATTCATATCATCACCAGTACCGTTGCTTCATTTAGTGATTTCCAGTAGATGAAATCTACAAGAGATGGTTATCGTAGTTCCAGTGGCTTAGTGGATAACGTTGTGCCATTTGAAACGAATAGTACTAGGTCTTAACCTCGGTAGGAACAACATCACTCACTGGAGTGTAGATATATCCAACTGATGAGTCACGAAAAGGATGAAACACGCGTCCTGGATTCCTCTACTAGTCACTAAGATCAATATAAAATTTATGATCTAATAATCCCTACTGGTAGAAAGTTGATTAAAACTAGAGGGATAATACGTGGACAACTATTTCATTTAACCTTATTGTGATTATTCAGTAAGACTGGAAAGTTGTGTTGAAAGTTAATGAAATACACAAATATCATCATCGGTGTATCCCGTTAAAGTAGACATCAACTGAATTCACCATAATAACAGGCAAAGCAAAATGATGAAAACAATAGTTAGAACAAAACATATAAGCGAACAATATTATCTTCACTTAGATTCCCTTATATAGTTAAACTAATCATGTACTGAGTCTACATACGACTCACTTAGACCTACAGGGAGTAACATACCACAGTTGTATGGTCTACCTAAAGTACACAAACTTAAACTCCCCCTTCGTTCACTTTTAGACATGTTTAACTCTTCATACTATGCAGTTGCCAAGTGGCTAGTAAGGATTTTAGATCCCTTACACAAAGAATTAGTTAACCATAGTATAAAAGATGTCTTTGAATTTATTTCTAAGCCAGATAATATGAATGTAAACAAAAAACATATGATGTCCACTTGATATCTCATCACTATTCACTAATGTGACATTACTGAAGACGGTAGAATTTGTGTCATGGTTTTATTGTGTTCTCTGAGTTGCGTTGTTTAATCATTGAGCTTTCATTGTCTTGCTAGACAACATCATCAGCACTAACTTCAATATCAAGTGAGTGATTTATTAGCTTGCCCTGACCTGGTTTGTGATTGCTTGTTTCCTTTGATTGCTGTGTCATTGACTGACTGTATAAATTTTCCTGTCGGCTGTTCCTCTGCTTAATCTCTGACTTTTCTGTCGTTTATCATTTTTCTCATTGATTGATAGATTGGGTTCACATCTATACATCTATTGATTGCTGACTGACCTGAATACAAAGCTTCTAGGAATTCTCTGATAGTTCTTGTCTTCCCTCTCTCCATCCAAGATTTCCACATTGACGAAATTGAATTCATGTCTATAATTATCCATGTGCATCGAAATGAGCAATGAAATGTCGTGACACTTAATAGTTAATTGGTGTTTGTGTAAGCGAAGGTGAAGAGGGTGACCACTTTGTCCAATGTAGTGTTAACTACAGTTATTGTAAGTGATTTGTAAATGATATTCGGTTTGTCTTGTTTGGTTGTTGCATCCTTTGGTCTGAATAATAGTGTGTTTGTAGAGAATTTGTTGGTTTATGAGCCACACCAATTCAACCAAGTGATCTCAGTAATCTTGTCGTGATTTCTGATATGTTCTTTATGTACGGTAGGGTGATGCGTTTATTGATTTCTGTCGATGACTTTGTCGTTGATAATGTACGTGATTAGGTATCTTCTGATAAAGTTTCGTGAGTAGCTGTTCTTCTTTAGGATAGACATTAAGTAATTTTCTTCGTTTCTCTGTGAAGTTGTTGTACTGCAGTGTGTTCTTACTATGTTGAATAGTCTCGGGCAACTAATTTTGTGCGTTGTTGGGTTGTTGCTACTGTAGTTGAGGATTTGATCACTATATGTTGGCTTCTTGTACACTATGAATCTACATTTTGTCTTCAGTAGCTCTCATGATAGACAGATTGATGGCATAGCTATGGGTTCACCACTTGGCCCCTATTTTAGCTAATATATTTCTTGTCAAACTGGAGAATGGAGCATTTAACAGATGTCATTAATGAGATAAATATGTATCATTATTATATAATGACGACACATTCATTACCCTGGATCAGAAAGTGGATACAAAAGATATGTTAAGTGCACCCTTCACTCACTTTCACTTGTGAGGAAGAAAACGCGAGTAAACAATACTTCTTGGATGTCTTGCTTTACAGAAGAGAAGATAGTCTACTCAGCAGACATGTTTACAAGAAGAGAAAATCCATAGGTCAGTACACACATTTTCTTAGTCATGTACCCATTCGTTGCGAAGCTAACCTTGTTAAATGCCTCACTAACATAGCGAGAGGAATATGTTCGGATGATTTAATACAGAATGAGTTAGAATACATTCGTAATTCATTGGTTGAAATGGGCTACCCTAACAGTTTCATAAAAAGACTCATGGACAAAGGCCAGGGGGAACAAACCTGGTACTATTATCATACAAAAGAAACCTTTGTTTATGAAATTGCAATTTAATAGGGATGTGGCCGGAGAAGTTTTATACCAGAGACTCTCTAGAGCCATTAAAAGGACCTTCTACGCCGCACAACTTTGTCTATCATTTTCTAGTCGACCAATTGTTGCTGCTTAAACAAAAGATAAGGTATTCAGTTTTGCTATTTTTATGTGTATTTACATATGTTAGCCGCTACTGTAGAGAAAGCCATATAGGGCGTACTACTAGACAATTCAACAAACGTGTTGCTGGGCATTTATCTTCATGGTTGGGAAAGGGACAGATAAAATCCATCAGAATTTCAGTTTTATCTCACCTCATTGATAGTGGACACTTGGCAGATAAGAAGAATACTTTCACGACTATTCACAGCATACCACCTAATCTTTCGAAAAGTATTCAAACTCGTTTTATACACATAGCAGAAGCTGTAGGAATTAGAGCTAATAATCCTAGTCTTTGTATCCAGAAGAAATTTGTTCTCTTTTCCTACCCCTTTCATATACTTACTATATTTGTTCAAACTGTTTATCTTCTTATCTCGTCCTTCGGTATTACATAACTTCTATTTTCCCAGGTTTTTGACCCACTTTTATTATCGGAGTGTCTACATTTGTATGCTGCTCTCTTGGTTCTTATCATAATTGTCGTGTGTATTGCAAGTGCTTTAGTCAACGTTATCACTTTTATCATTATTTGTATTATTATCACCATCATTATTCTTAAAACATTTATAACATTATACTGGGTTATAATTGAAGGTGAAATTTAGATCACGGCCGGATTCGAACCAGAGATCATCGGGTTTCCAACCTGACGCTCTACCGAATGAGCTATAAGGTCCGACTACTGATCAAATTTTTATTTTACTTCAATCACAAGGTGAGGTTTTGCCTGACTACCATATGCATTCGCAACGCGTTACTACTACTTGGTCGCATTCACACTAGCTGCTGCCCAGTCACAGCTTCTCATCCCAATTAGAATCTAAATGAATTAGAATGATAGAGGGGGAGCATCATATTGATTATCATTTGACTATCTGAGATAGCCGTACATGAGCAGAGTAGTACTTATACTGAGTGATGATTGAAGGTGAAATGAAAATTTGAACCGTGGCCAGATTCGAGGCTACTTGTATTAGAGTAAAGCCTGAAGAGAATCTAATCGAAAACAATATTGTTCATTTAAATATCTTGTTCTAATTTACATGATGCGAGTTTTGAGAACAATAGTGTTGACAGTGGAGGATAGGGGTAGTGGGAAACAAACAATATATGAATAAGGGATGAAAGATGCTGAACACTTATGAAGATGCTGGAAGATTTGAACAGATAGGCTAGTGTGAATACAACTGTAAGGGAATTCCAATCCAACATTAACTTACAATTTCTCCCCCAGTCTACAAAAAAATATCTTAAAAATTGGCTAAACAGTTGACACAAATAATCAGATTTCAATATCATGCGGTATCTTGAGTAGCTAGAGGCCCGGATGAACCTCATTTTTGTATCATTTAATATACACAATTGAAGTAGTTTCATTTCATGTTGTCTGAGCTGAACCGTTTAATCGGTAAGCTTTCATTTTTATTCTAAAGCAACATCATTAAAGCAAACTTCAGGAAGAAGTAACCTATGGAAATGAAGTAAAACAACTGAGAGCTTAAAAAATTAGACTATTCACACCTTTTACAGTCGTTAAAACAGCTCACATAACTACAAAATCTATCTACTCCAATATTAAGCAGGTAGAACAACACAATAGGAAAAGAAGACAAGACCAATATCATCTACAAAACAAATTGCAACAGTTGGGAGAATATGCAGATGTTTGGACATCATCATCTTCAATATAGGACCAGGTATTACTGCGTAACAGTCCAAGTTACCACACCTCATATCAACACATCAAGTAACGAGGCAGTAAAATGAAAAACGAAGAAGGAAAGAAAAATCGGTTAAAAGAAGTAGAAAGCAGTAAAAGAGAGGATGATGAGCTTAAGTATAGCGGTTAGGATGAGGATAATGTGTGTATACATCTGCGCCACTGACGTCGATCCAGACCCATGTCATCAACCTGGAGTCGCCAACCACTGGTTTCTCTTGTCCTGCGAACCCCCAGCCGGCTAGTCTACATCCCTCTCTACATGGCTCAAACGAACAGTCAAACACTTCATGAATTGATGCCATGTTTTAGTCTGGAAACCCCGAGCCTTTCCCAACCTGAACCTACATCACCCAACACTGTACGACAAGACAGACGGCGGCTAGGCATAAGTAACACATGTTCCGGCCATCTCAGTCGATGATGGTTCACAACCACATCAAATGTCTTACCTCTCCTGCTTAAAACTCAACGTCGGACTTCTGCGTTACTCATGTGCTACGAAGGCAACAGTGGTCAAATACCTGAAGCCTTCTCACGTCCTCTACCTTCCATGA